TGGAGGATCTCATTACAGGCTTATCAAATGAACAGACTCTTTAAATCTGCCATGCAAATGTTTTGGGACAAAGAGATTGAAGGGTTTCAAAGAGACCCCGTCTTAATTAACTTACTAATAAAGGAAGGCTTTATAAGTAAAGCAATGTGGCACTTATTGGATTATACCACCACAGAAATGTGATCACGCTGGCATTAATCGATGTTCCTATAATGGGTATAGAGAATGGGCTTGAAGCAGTGGTGGGATTAAAAAAAGTTTTACCACCAGTTTGGTGGGCGTGCTTTGTGCACTTTGTGTGTGTGCGCGCACCAAATGCACACTTTGCGCAGGCACAGAGGCGTTCCAACTCACCTCCTGCAAGCCTGCACTCTCCCGGTTGCGTCAGCAGCCGCCATGCGGCACTCTTCTGTGCCATGCAAAGCAGCTGCGCTTCAAAAGCAGGGAATAAAAAGGTGAGTATGGGAGCCCAGGTGGGCAGGTGGGCAAGTGGGGCCAACAGCAGAGCATTGGAGAGAACTGGTTTGGTCTCCACTGCTCATCGCTGCTAACGATGGCTCAGCAGAACTGGGCCGAACCAGTAGAATACCACCACTGGCTCAAAGGACAGAGGGAAGATCCGTTATCAAGGCAACAATCCAATAAACAAGATTGCAGGCTGAGGAAGTAGTTTATAAAAATGTCTAAAACAAGCTTCCCACTTAATACTCCTGAGCAGTTATGCGATTCAACATCCGGTTTGGTGAGATAACATCCGGTTTGGTGAGTGTGCACACGCATGTGTTCTGCATTTTAAAAAAAAAATACCATTTTCAGCTATAATACTTACCTCCTACTGCAGCCCCTGTGAATAAAACAGCTGAGGCACGACAAACTTTACACACATTTCATCATGAATTGTACATGATTGTCCTTGATTTATGCCCAAAATTTATGATGCTAAGTGAGACAGCTGTTCAGTGACTTTTGACTCATTTTACAACCTGTATTGATACCATTGTTAAAGTGAATCACTGCTGTTGTTCAATGAGTAACTTGGTTGTTAAATGAACCTGGCTTCCCCATTGTCAGAAAGTCTCTAAATAGAGATGACATGACCCCAGGACATTGCAACCGTCATAAATACGAGCCAGTTGCCAAGTGCCTGAATTTGACCACAGAGATGCTGCAATGGTCATAAGGGTGAAAAATGTTTACAAGTCACTTTTTTCAGTGCCGTTGTAACTTTGAACAGTCATGAAATGAATGGTTGTAAATCCAGGTCTACCTGTAATATGTTCCAGAAATTATTTCTGGTATTAATCAAAACCTTTCATCTGGATTTTAAACTTCCTTCCCTCCCACCTGTCCTGTAGGATGAATAATATGTCTCATATTTTAGCGGCCACTTTTCTTTAAGGCAATAATTCTGTTATAAAATTAATCTGCACCTTTGGTAATAAAAAATGATTTATGCTATTTTTGTGATCTAATGTCAGTTCTGATTTTTTAAAAATTTTTACAACAAAAACAACAAATAAAAACTATCTTTCAGTTGTACAGTGTGTCGTCTTACATACATTTTGTGCACATAATAATATCTGTATATATTTCTCATAGTTTACACATATTATATTCTAGTCAACATTATATATCATATTTTATCATTATTACAGTATCATAAGTTTTTTTTATTTCAATTACCATCTATTTTTAATAGCAAATCCCAACTCTTACTAAATTATATTCATATCATGACTTATTCAAAATAATCAATTACAATATATCAATATTACTATATCGTTTAATTCCTTACTCTACTTTCTAACCATCCATAGAATAAGTCCCAAATCTTACAATATTCTTTTTCTTCTTGCTCTCTCATTGCTAATGTTAATCTACTCATCACTGCACATTCCATTATTTTCTTAATCACTTCCTCCTCCATCGGAATTTTCTCATTTTTCCAGTTTTGAGCAAATATAATTCTAACTGGTCTCAGTACATGAATAATCAAATATGTTATTTATTTACTATAGTTTTCAGGTAAAATCCCCAATAAAAATATCTCAGGCTTTAAATCTATATGTTGTTTTATCATTTTATCCAACCATGTGTGTATTTTAGTCCAATATCTTTTAGCTTTTGCCCAAGTCCACCATAATGTCAGTTCTGGAATCCACTTGCAAACTGAATGACCCTGTTGTCTGGTTAAAATAGTGAAGCACGCACTCCTTATTTAGTGACTGACTTATTTAGTGACATTCTACATTTTTGACAGTGATGAAAACTAATTTTAAAACCAATCCTTATGTTGACTTTGGCAGTTCAGTAAAGCAAAGGAAAACTGAAAGAAGATCATAACCACAATTAAGATTTTATTTTGCTCATACGCATCACTTAACAACTGAGTTGCCAGCCCCAATTGAGGCTGCTAAACAAGGACAACCTCTATAATTTAACATGGAAGAATATTAGTGAAGGTCAACATCATATATGAGCTTCAAACATATACGCCACCAGTCGATGGCAATAAAGAGATTTCGCCTGCTCCCATCTAGTGGCTTAATAATGAATCCAACTAAGGGCTTTGTATATTAAAGATATTAATAAGCTTTATTTTCTGTCAAATCTATATGAACATACTGCTGCTTCAATCTGTGTAGAAGTGTTAGTTCCCTGCTCAGCATTTTAAAAATAGAGACCTCCCCAGATCAATCAAATCACACATTTAATCAGTAAGAAAACTTTAATTAGTCGACCAAAGTGTCATCCTTAAAATTAACACAACACTAATAGATTTTCCAAGAGCCACTGTCTTGCAAGATGCATTCGGCATTAGACTGAGAGTGATTCTGCTAATTAATTAACCTATAACAACCAGTTCAGCTTCTCCATTTTGAGGGACAGTGCATTTGAATTAGTGTGCAAGCGAGCATCTCATACAAGGCCAGTGTTTTCATATAGCGAGTCAAGGGCAGCTCATTTTAATTACCACCAACATTGTTGGAAAGTCAACCATAATGCAGAACTGTGATTTAAGACAACTGAAGCTTTTCTTAGCTGGCTGGGCACTAGATTCATTTACCTGGCAAGACCTACTTCTGCTTTGATTTAAAGCATTGGAAATGGTTGTGCTGGGGGAAAAAACATCCCCGTAAATTGAAAATATTCTTGTGGTGCTCTAAAAGCTATCCAATTTATAAGACCATCTTTGGCTTGAGTCCACTTTATGACATGCAGTGGAAGATGATATATTGCACAGTATATAGTTGGAACCATTTGAAGGACACAAATCCATGAACATTTACAACTTTATGTACTACTTAAAGTCTATCAGTTGCCCCAAGGCTGTTTGCTATTATTCTATGAATAAGGTGAAATAATTGTTCCTGTGGAAGGAAAGAAGAATGGTTTCAGAGAAATGTCTATGGCAAGGGTCTTCAAACGTGGCAAGTTTAAGACTTGTGGACATCAACTCCCAGAATTCCTGAGCTAACATGACTGGAAGAGGAATTCTGGGAGTTGAAGTCCACAAGTCTTAAAGCTGTCAAGTTTGAAGACCTCTGGACTCTTTGGAATTTTTCATTCATCCAGATCATGGTTGTCCTAAAGATGTTTTTTTTTTTTTTTCAAGAGGCAACTGGACTTTCTTTGTTGTTCCTTGAAGATGTTTTGCTTCTCATCCAAGATTCTTCAGTTCTGACTGAATGGTAAGGAATGGAGGATTTATATTCTTTGCAGTCATTTGGTCAAGTGGGGGAAGGGGGGGAGAGAAATACAACACCACCTGCCTCCTGTTTACAACATAGTCATTTCAGCAATCCCAAGAGGGTTCCACACCCATTTACACTATTCAGGTGACTTTGAGGGCACAGACAAATCCCCCCAAGTGGCCTCAATGACTCCCAAAAGAAATACTAATGACCCAAATGACCGCAAGGAAAACAAATCCTTCCATTCTCCACCATTCAGCCAGAACTGAAGAAGCTTCTTGGATGAGAAGTGAAATGTCTTCAAGGAAAAAACAAAGAAAGTCCAGAAGCACCTTTGGGTTTTGGAGAAATAATATGATAAAACAATGGACATAATCTTAAAAAATACATAATAATTTAAATACTAAATAATAGTATAAATAAATAAATAAATGCATACATACAAACATACATATATACGGATCTTTGGTTATTCGGGTTTTCTCCCGCGTAAGATTGGAAGTATCTAGGCAACGTTTCGATGAAGTCTCATTCATCATCTTCAGGCTTCTGTCTTCAGCTCTGTGCTTCAACTCTGAGAAGCACAGAGCTGAAGACAGAAGCCTGAAGCTGATGAATGAGACTTCATCGAAACGTTGCCTAGATACTTCCAATCTTACGCGGGAGAAAACCCGAATAACCAAAAATCCACATACAAATACCCGCGAGAACCTCAGAAAACATACATATATACATACATACATACTAACATGCACTCTATAGATTTTTAAACTATCCCTTAATATGTTTGGGCATGAGGTGCAGTGAGAATGTATTTCTTTCATAAATTTTGGGTGGGATTGAGGATTCATTTTGGGGGGCAAGCAGGCTCAGCCAGTTAATTGGGTTTTGGTTTTTTTGCCTGAAATTGGTAAGAAAACACACCATACATTTCAGCATTTTAATTGGGAGGAATCTTGAAGGTCTTAAAGGATTGTTCTTTAGAAGTTAGAAGAGGGATCTCTAAACTCACAGACTTCAACTTGTAGGGGTCTCCAAATTTATAGACTTTATCTGCCAGAATTCCTCAGCCATCCATACTGGCTGGGGAATTCTGGGAATTGAAGTCCACAAGTCTTAAAGTTACCAAGTTTGGAGACCCTTGTATTAGAGGCCAAATACAAGCAGTCGGTTGAGGAAGATTGAAATAAAGAACAGGCCAAAATGAACCTGGGCTCATGGAAAACAAAATGAATGAATCCTGTTATATTTATCTGGCTAACTAATGCTTTCTTCTTTAAATATATGATATTGGCTTCAGGTGAGATGATTCTGCATTCAGCCAGCATCCACGACAACATGGTCTTCAGCCGAGTCTTTCAGATCTTGTACCGGAATGAAGAGATTCTCCTCAACGATTCCATGAACTTCTCTGTGCATCTCCTCCTGGATGGTGAGAGGGTGAGATGGTTTTGATTCTCTTAAAGAAGACTCCTCTTCACTCATATATGAGTAGGAATGAAAATTCACACATGGTTATCCATGGTAGAGCGGTAGCGATAGAGTGGTCCTTTGCATACAGGCAGGGGTTTTGTCAGCTGGGGGTTTGCAGGAGTTCAGGAGAGCCCCTAGCTAAGATTCTGTGCAGTTCGGAGAATCCCCAAATCCCATTCCTGGATGGCCTCCCCTACCTGACCCACCTTTCCCAGGAGTCTCCACGTGGCTCATTTTGGATGTAGATAATAAGTGCAGGACGCAAACGGAGGCTTGGGGATGGTGAAAAATGGGCCTCCCGGAAGTTCAGAAAGGCCGGAAATGGGGCAGTTTCCAGCTTCCAGAGAGCCTCTGGAGCACAGGGTGGCCATTTTCACCCTCCCAGAAGCTCGAGGAAAGCATCTGGAGCCCAGGGAGAACAAAAGCGCTCCCCCGTCATGGTGTAGGAGGCTGACAAGGCCATGCCCACAATGGCTACGCCCACCCAGCAACCAGTCGGAGAACCTATTGATAAAATTTTTGAAACCCACCTCTGTATACAGGGCAACTCCACCTCCTCTTTTATTGGGGTCTGGGATTTTTTTTGAACAGTTTGTATCCTTCTATCAATATGTTAAGGATGTGGTGGCTCAGTGGCTAAGATGCTGAGCTTGTCGATCAGAAAGGTCAGCAGTTTGGCGGTTCGAACCCCTAGCACCGCATAATGGAGTGAGCTCCCTTTACTTGTCCCTGCTTCTTCCAACCTAGCAGTTCAAAAAGCATGTAAAAATGCAAGTAGAAAAATAGGGACCACTTTGGTGGGAAGGTAACAGTGTTCCGTGCGCCTTCGGCATTTAGTCATGCTGGCCACATGACCACGGAGATGTCTTTGGACAGTGCTGGCTCTTCAGCTTTGTAACGGAGTGGAGCACCACCCCATAGAGATGGAAATGATTTGCATATATGTGCGAGGGGAACCTTTACCTTATCAATATGTTCCAGTCATGGGTTTCATCCAACCAAGTTTCTCTTATTCCAACTATATCATATCTACCTTCATGTATTAATAGTTCAAGTTCACCCTGTTTGATCCCCAGACTTTGTGCTTCCTGAAGATATGCCCCCTTCCGGTTTTGTGAACCTTGTGGTTTTTCAAAGTGCCAGTGGCAACGAGATCAACAAACTCCCAAGACTTGACTCTGTCTTGATCCCCAAAGCACAGGAGTAAGCACTTCATGGTCCCACAACCCACTTCCAACCATGTAGTACATGGTTCTCTTGGTACAACTCATAATTAGCTTTGTTTAGTTTATTGTCACTGCACATAGGAATATAGGAATTTGAGATCTTTATGTCTGACTCTGGGTATGCTTCCTATATCTCCTATTTGGGGTTTAAGTTTGTCTTCCCTCCCATCGCTCCTTACTTCATTATTTGATTTGCTTTCTAGGGTTTTTTCTTTGGAATTAGGCCCTGGAGATCCTAAAGACTGGTCACCCCACCCCCCCTTAATTTTAGTGGTACCTCAGTACTCATTGTTAATTGGTTCCAGGTGGCATGATGAGTACCAAGCAAATTTTCCCCATAAGGAATAATGTAGAGGGTCTCAAGGCAGCCGATACCAACAACTTCTAACTTACCTGTTGAATACTGAAAAAACAATCAGTACTGGGACAAAATTTTTGCATCAAAAATGCATTGAGTACCAAATTGGATGAGTTTCAAAGCAGTTGACTGACATGGTACTGCTCTATACAAGATTGTTATCCCAATAGAAGAGACCATCTGCAGATTGGTGGGATCTACAGCTAAACTGGAGGGAGATGTTAAGAAGGGAACAAGCTTAGAGTCCTTACACTGCAGAAAGTAGTACCAGCCTGATCTCTGAATCCCTTTCTGACTGTTCCCAAAGGAATGCAGTCAGTCTAGAGAGATTCTAGTAACATACATGACTAACAATAAAATTTCTACTTGAGAGTGTTCGTGTTGTGGTTCTGGTTGCTTGTGCATGGCAGTAGCTCAGGGCTGAAGGGTCCTTGGGACTCTCTGAAGTTGTTTGTTTGCTTGAAAGACATTTCATTGCCCAACTAGGTAACATCATCAGTATGGGAGCATTACAACCAGGGGTGGGATTTTACCAGTTCACACCTATTCGCTAGAACCGATTGTTAACATTCTAAGCAGTGCGGAGAACCAGTTGTTAGAAGAAATTACTGGCCTAATCCTGTAAGGAAGGCAGGAAGGTAACATTCTGGTGTTGCTTACAGAACCTGCCTCTCCGTTAACCCTTATTATGTTCTTGGCAGGACTAGACTTCCTGTCTCAGGAACCTCTCTGGAGTTTTTTTCCCCTCCTTTGCTGGTACTTTGCTTGTGTGGAGTGACCATTCAAAGTTACAATGGCACTGAAAAAAGTGATTTATGACCGTTTTTCACATTTACGACTGTTGCACAGTTGTGAGAGGCCAGGCGAGGAGATGCGTGCCTCGATGTGAGTGATATTGAGTTGGATACACTCAGCTAGTCACATGACCACCAAGCCATGACCACTACCTAAGCCACACCCACAGAACTGGTTGTTAAAAAATTTGAATCCCACCCCTGATTACAACCTCCACAGATTTGTTATATATGTCTTGTCATATTGGTTTGGAGTGCATTTGAAACCACTTAGATTGTCCTTATATCACTTAATCATAATAGATGACATTCACAAATGAATTTCTCCCCCTGCAGGTAGATAGTAAGACAGGAGAGAAAAGATTAAAGGAGAGAAGTTACTGTGAATATAAGTATATTGGACTGAATAACACCAATTTATGTCCAAAAGGTTATGTTAGCTGCACTTAGAAACCCATCATACTTATTATTCCTTAATGATTTCGGTGCCATTGATTTCAACAAGTAGGGACTGCAGCCAACAAACTAGATTGGCTAAATTGAGTGAGATAACTAGCACCTTGGAATACAGAAATAAATATTCAATATAATTTAGGGAGTTTAGAAAATAGCCTGAACATGACAGAGTGAAATTTCACAAATACAAAAATTCTTCTTTTGGGAAACAACATTCAAATTCACAGTTACAGGAGGGGAATATGGAGTTTCCTGACCTAACCCTAACCTAAACTCAACTACCTCTCTCTCTCTCTCTCTCCATTTTATCATCTGTGTGTCTGTCCGTCCGTCCATCCATCCATCCATCCATCCATCCTCCACTCTCTCTCCCTCCCTCCCTCTTTCTCCCCCTCTCTCTCCCTCCCTCTCTCTCATTTTTGGGGAATAGTTGATCACAAATTGAACATAAAGTGGCAGTTTAACAGAGTGATTAATGCAATTATAGTTTCCAAACCACCACCAGTAATTCTTCCATCCTATTTTACACTGATTAGGTCCCATCTCAAGTACTATGTCCAGTTCTGAATACCCTATTCTTGGAGGTTTTGGAAAATTTTAACAGGTTCAATGGAGGGCAGGCATGATGAACTAAAGTTGGTTTAGGAATGTCAGAACATGGATAATCCCAGAGAGTGAGTGAATGAGTGAGTGAGTGTGTGTGTGAGAGAGAGAGAAAGGGAGAAGAAATGCAGCCATATTAGGATCATGTACTGCTGAGATAGTTGACTCTTTAAGCAATGTGGCTTCCCCATTGCTCCTCCTCCACATTTTTTTCTCAGAAGTTCAATTTTGAATTACATATATCTTATAACAGCGTAATAAAATAAACTAAAATACTTTTTTCATCAAGAGAAAGTTCAGATTCGCTAGCAGGACGTAGAGAAGCACTAGAGGACTTAGATTTTTTTTTGTCTTTTAATGAGCCCATAATTCCTTACATTGGGGTGGAGTCAGGGTAACTGAATGGAGCTGAGCGTTTACTGGCTGGATGCCCTTCCTGTTGCCAATGCAGAGTTCACAGCAGATAATTACTCATTGTGTCCAGAGAGAAATATCTGCCACTATCTAGGATCAAACTCACAGCCTCCTGAGAGTGAGGTGAGATCTCCACTTCTAGGCCACTGCACTACTCATTAGAGGACTTAGAATGATGAAGAAAAATAGGGAAAAATGAAGTATCTTTCCACAAGTGCTATGACCTTAATTAATATGACTCTCCTCCACAAATCAGCTCCACACCTAAAGAAGAAACTACAGGGGATCCAACTGTCCTTCAGTGTAATTCTTTGCTCCGTGCAAGGAGAGTTTGTTTGAGAGTTTGAGTTTGAAACTGGTTTGAGTTTGAGGTCTCATTCCTCAACTAATCTGGGAGACTGGATGACCTTTTAATCACAGGACAACGTAGGCTGCGAGTCTCTGAGGCATCCATCTCAGTCGCCTGCCCATCAGATTATCAATCAGTTATATTTTCTTGGTGGTAGCTTAGTCCAGATGGTAATACACATTAGAAACTCATCTACATGGAGGGATTTCAGACTTCAAGTGGGATTTTCTGAACTATCCGTAGGGTGTGATAAAATAAGCCTAGTTGGTTCAATCAAAGTTCTACTGGTGGCATCTGTGTGACACATAAATGACAAGATTTGACTGTCCCTTTCCAGCTCTTGATGTTTGTTGCCACACCTTGTAAATTGCAATTCATTCATTCATTCATTCATTCATTCATTCATTCATTCATTCATTCA